CAACTCAAACCATTCTGTGATTCTATTGTCATGCCTGCCAAGCAGTGCCTCTGCTACGCTGTCAGCTCTCCCACGCATTGTTACCTTCTTTCTGCAGCTACCTGATACATTTCTTTCCTTTGTTCATAGTATCATAGAATTCCATGGGCAGGGACACCTCGCACTAGACCAGGTTGCTCAAGGTTTCATCCATCCTGGCTTTGAACACTGCCAGGGTTGGGGCCTCCACCCCTGGTCTGCTATCTCACCCTTCTTACAGTAAAAAACTTTTTTTCTAATATCTAACCTAAAGTCTTTCAATTTGAACCCATTACCCCTTGTCCTATCACTGCAGTTCCTAACACAGAGTCCCTCACTGGCTCCCCTGTAGCCCCTTCAGATATTGAAAAGTTGCTATGAGGTCTCCATGCAGTCTGCTCTTCTCCAGGCTGAACAGCCCCAGCTTCCTCAGCCTGTCCTCATGGGGGAGATGCTCCAGTCCTCTGGCCTCCTCTAGACTTGCTCCAACAGCTAGTTCCATGTCCTTCTTATGTTGAGGGCACCAGAACTGCATGCAGTGTTCCGGTGGGGTCTCACGAGAGCAGAGGGGGAGAATCACCTCTTTAAACCTGCTGCCCACACTCCTTTTGATGCAGCCCAGGATTCGATTTGCTTTCTGGGCTGCTAGTGCACACTGCTGGCTCATTGTGAGTTTCTCATCCATCATCATGCCCAAGTCTCTCTCCTCATTGTTGGTCTCAATTGCTTACCCACCCAACCTGTAGGTGTGCCTGGGATTGCCATGTCCCAGGTGTAGGACCTTGCATTTCATGTTGTTGAACTTAATGAGGTTTCAGGCCTGTTAGAGTCCCTCTGGATGGCTCATCCCTTCCCTCCAGTGTGTCAACTGCCCCACACAGCTTGGTGTCGACAGTGGTCTTGCAGAGGGTGCACTCAATCCCACTGTCCATGTCACCAATACAGTTGTTAAACAGCTTGAGCTATTGCACCAGCTCAAGCACTTCTAGCTCTGGGCTGGGAGGGGAACAGGATGGATGTGGATGCAACATGTGCTAGTTTGGGTATGGCTACTTGTTAGGTTACTTGGACAGAGGAGATGAGGTAGATTAGATGCTAAAGGTATTGAAGTGAGTAGATGTCTGTCCCTCATCCTCTCATCATTTTTTAGAACAGATGGGAAGAATGTTTAACTGAGATTGCAGGGTTTGAATGAGGAAGTGGGAGAAGAGGGATGGAAGCTGAGGGTACAGGGGTTTTCGTGACAAAGCAGTGTTTGGTTTGTGTGTTTGTAGGGCAGGTTTGTGATGGAGTATCGTGCCATGAGCTCCTGTGTTTAACTGTGCTCTGCTCACCACGCCCCAGCAGCTGGCAGTCTCCATGCTCCGGCTTTTCTCTTTGTTATCACACGGAGGCCTGTTTCCATCCATATAAATTCCTGCTCAGTTACTAATTTTGTGTTCTCTGTTAGCAAAGATTTGTGCAGCTGGAAATGGTGAGTCACCTTGTTTAGTGATTCCCAGCCTTTTGGTCAGCCAGTTGTTCTCTCTGCTGCTGTAGACCTGATGCAGCTTCTATGTATGCAGTGCACTGATCTTCATTAATGTCTTAGTCTGCACTGTGGTGAGAGTATATAGATCACTTTTAACCCAGAGAATGCTTTTCTTAGCGAGCATAACTTTTTGTAATCAACCAGCCTTCAGTTCTTCCCCTTTTTTCTGCCCACACGCTGATAAGCTTCTGAGTAAGGAACTAAAATAGCTGTCTGAATTAGTGGGTGTGCTGTTTCTTTCCAGGCGAGATCCCATGAGGCTTTTGCACTAATTTACCATGAATAACAAATTACCGTCCAGGAGGCTAACGCTGTGTTAAAAGTATTTGTCAAATTCAAACTGCCTTCTGTTTCAGTAGACTCATTGCTTCAAAAAGTGGTGGTGATGTAAATTTGTGAATCTCATTTATTGAACAGTGGTGGTAGTTTTCTCTTGACATCTGATGACCCAAAAATTATTTGCAAAGGTGGGAGAAAACATTTCTCTCTGCACACAGGTGGAGAAACTGACTTGCAGAGGTGTTAGTTTGAACTCCACTCTCCTCCAGCCTTCCTGTTTGCATTACTGACATTAAGGTTGGAGTTGGGACTGAGCCTAAGCTTTTGAATTCCCATTTCAATTCATTCAACTGCAATTTTGCCAGACAATAGCTGTTCTTTTTTGTCTTTGTTAGCTCTGGATAGCCACACTTGTAAATGAAACTGTTTTAATATATTAATGTCTTATTTGAAACTCCATCTGCTATCACCACCAGGTCTCATTCACCTCTTCAGTTCTCATTAGGGAGTTTATCTGCTGCTCTCTCACTTTGTTAAACAATTCCCCTCCATTCCCCCCTCTTTTGTGTCTCAGTAACAGAAGTTCTTCCTGGTGCTGCAGTAATGGTGGATCTGTGAGAGTTAAGGAGTAACAGTCCTATAAACTTTGGCTTCTTCAGAAACGACCTGCTTGGAGCTATTCCAGTATTGTCAAATAGAAGTGAATAATGCAGTGTGTGTGTATGGCATGATGTGCCCCCAAGCTATATGCAGTGTTGGAACCTGTACAGCAGCATTTTAAGAGAGAATTTATGCTGTCCATTGCTTGCCACAATTCTAGTAATAATAATGTAGGACTTTTTTATAGTCTGATGACAACTGTCACACTTGCAGAAATGTGATTCTAAAATACTGGTCATGTCCCTTTAAAGTAAAATGAAAGTGAAAGCTAACCAGGCAGGACTCGGAGCTCCCTTTTTTTTTTTTTTTTTTTTGGTCGTGCTTTTCCCCTCTCCTCTGTTAAAGCATTGAATAACAAATTACAGAGGGCTCAAGCCTGACAGAGCTCAAGAAGCATTTGGACAATGCTCTCAGGTACGTGGTGTGATTCTTGGGGCTGTGCTGTGCAGGGCCAGGAGTTGCACTTTGATGATCCTTGTGGGCCCCTTCCAACTCAGGATACTCTGAGTCCCTGTGTATCTGTACATGTGCTGTGTGTGTGTCTGTCCCTGCTGGGCATATGGACTCAGCCTCGCTAGTGGCTGGAGCTGTGACAGCCTCACTTATGTCCAGCTGCCAGGTCTGGCAACCCTGTGCTGGTATGTCAAGTGGCTCAGTGCAAGAATACTGCCAGGTATTCATAAAAGAAGTTTTTGTGTCACACTTACTGTTTGGTTTTGGGTTTTTAAAAAATAGTTCTGCCTCTTCCTGCTCACATTGGTAAAAAGAAACGCTATTTTTTGTGGTGGTTAGATTGTCATGCCATGCTACCATATTCCTTCTCATCAAAAGAACTTTATCTTGTTGTTCACACATCTGACACTCT